GTCCAAGGTAGTAAAGTTCCCTTTCAGGGCCTGACAAAAGCCGAAGCTGTGAGCCCAGGTGCTGAAGCTGCCCTGAAGTTTCGGCAGCTGTAGAATCAAATTGAATTGGATTGAATAGCTCAGGGCAACCCAAGTTTCTCTCTCAGTTTTTCAGTCCTGTTCTCTGGCCTAGAACTGAAGCTCTAAGTTACCTCACTTTCAACTCTGGAGCTAAACTTTCCATCGTAGGAGGGCTTTGTAACAATTATTAAGTATCTGCTATGTGCAAGATGCTGTGTGGACAGAGATTAAAAAAAACAAACCAACAAACCTATGTTTAGGAAACTTACATTCTTGGAGGGGGGAGGGGGCAGGGTGAGGTCAGGAGGGGTGGAAAGAGATTGCAAAATAATCTGTTCTGGGAAATGAATTAGACCAGCCAATTTCTAAAATAACAGGTAGCATTTATGTAGCACTTTAGGGTTTGCAAAGTCTTTACAAATACTATCTCATTTGATCATCACAACAACTCTGGGAGGCAGATGGCATTATAGCCCCCATTTTATACATGAGGAAACTGAGGAAGGCAGAGGTTAAGTGACTGGCTCAGGTTCACACAGCTAGTAAGTTTTTCAGGCTAAGATCTCCCAGCTCTATTTTTCTGTGCTCTGGGGTCCTTTCCAAATCTGACATTCTAATGCATCTATGTCTTCATCAGGTTGGAATTTTGACTGAGACCAGCCATCATGGTGCAGTAAAGCCCTGGATCAGGAGTTAGACCACCTAGGTTCTGGTTTTTACTTTGCAGCTAACTTGCTGGGAGGACCTTAAAGGTTATCTAGGCCTACTCTTTCACTTTCCAGATGAAGACATTTTAGCCCAGAAAAGTTGAACAACTTCCCCAGGGTTGCATAGGGAGTACATGGCAAAGTCAGGATTTAAACATAGGTCTTTAGCACCAGGCCTTGCACACCTGGATTAAAGGTCAGACTTAATCTCTATGGTGCCTTCTCATTCTTAAAAAAAAAAAGTTTACATTATTCCAGTTGCTATGGGAAGAGCATCAACTCTTCCAGGTTAGTGGAAGGAGGGGAGTAGATAATACAAAACAATGCATAATGCAAAGATAATCAAAGCATATGGTCAGTCACACACATCCACACACACACGGTCACTCATTCTCCAAGACTGGTCGCTGTAGAAAATCCACTGAATGGAAGATGCACTGCCAGGCATTTGCCATCCCTTTCCTAGTGCTGTCTGGCACACCTCCATTTCTAGGAGCTACTCAGTCTTTGTTTCAGGCAGAGCTGGCTTTTTATGCCCCTCCACAAGTTCTCCTGTTGGCTGCACGCTTGGTACCTCCACCCCAGAAAGCCCAGAGGGGAGCGGTACCAGTGGGGGGAGTGCGGGTTGTTTCGGGGTGATGCCCTCTGAAATCCTCCAGGAATGGAGAGCCCCAGGGCTCGGGATTGCAGCAGTATTTCTCTCCCGTTTCTTATGATAGCCTTGAGCTTGCTGAGTGATCAGGCAAACAGAGAGAGGCTGCTGTTCTCCCTATGTGTTTCCTGGTTGGGAAATGTCAGACCCCAGAATGTGCCCAAAGAGGTCTAACAGATTCTCCTAGCACAATCTGGTTCACCACTGCTTGACGAGCTGGGTAATTTGCCTTGGAAAGCACTGGGGGAGAGGGGGAGGCTCATTTCTTTCTTGGTGAGGCAGGTTTGCTGCCTAGTTGGAAATGTCTCCAGTTGAGAAATCCCAATCATTTGGTCTTCCTGGGCTTTGTTGCATATACTGTTGCCGGTTACCATCAAAGCTGTGATTTCTTTAAAACCAAAGGGTAGATTGTTTCCTTTTAATTACACCAAGACAGCTGCCTTTTTCTAAAAACCTGGAACTGCTCCTTAGCTCCTGGTCCTTTCTTAATGCTCTCTCTCTGGCAGTCACTCCACTTAATTTTAAAATTTCTTGTCTAATCTGTGCACACAAAATAAACAAGTCCCTGAGCAGCCCCTCTGACAGCAGCCTTGAACGTGATTTATTCTCACTCGTCACGGTGGGGAGATCAGGGGAAAAAACAGGCCAGAGTTGGAAGTAAGATGCGGAGGGAAATGAATGCCTCATTGGAAACCCTGAGCCAAGCCCAAGGTCAAATGTTTGTTTGTCAGGCTCAGTGGGCGACTGACAGCGAGCGGCAGCCCCCTCAAATGTACTGGAGCATTCACTCTGTGGGCTGGACAGGCATTGGTGGGGCCCACCCTAGAGGGATGTATTAATGAGGTGATGTGGTTATAAGCAGCCTTGGGGGCTCTTTAAGGATTCCTCTGAGCTCAGGCCTCATCTTTGGTGACAAGCTGAAGCTGAAAGTGATGGAAGGGCCATGTTTCTAGAATGCAGGAGGAGGCGGCCCTGGAGGATGTCAGACAGGTGGGTCCTGAGCTGTGGCTGCAGCCTTTCCTCACTGTCAGAAGGCTGAGTTCAGCCACGTACCCGCCCCGGCTCAGCCTACAGCCCTCCCTTTGAGGGGAGTCTTGTGGATGAAAGCCAGAAATGAGAACAGGACTAGACTCTGGGGATACTGAGAAACCTCAGTGGATTATTTTGTTTATTCCTTCTTTTTTTCCTCTCTCCCTTGTTCTCTCTTTCCCTCCCTCCGTCCCTCCTTCCCCATTAGCCAAGACTGAGAAGATTGCCTTTTAATTGGGCAATATCTTTAGTTGAATCCTTGACCACCACCTCCTCCTCCCAAATAAGACAACATTTTTAGAACACATTTTATTGACTTTGGGAAAAAAAATAATATATATCTCTTTGAAGTTGAATGTCTGTACAATCCTTTTCTAGCCTTGTATGGTCCATATAGTTATAGCAATATCAGCAGAGACAGTGTGTGTGTGTGTGTGTGTGTGTGTGTGTGTGCGCGCGCGCGCGTGCGCATGCACGCACGTGCACATGCATTTATACAAATAATTTTGACTCACACAAATGGCTTAAGTGTTAGGCTGGTCATGGAGTGTTTTTTTCTGTAGTTTTGTCAGATGCCTGTACATTCACAACAGGGTTTTGGATTGTTAACCTAAGAGCTACATCTGACCTTCTTTCTACTTTTCCCTCTTACAAGAGCTTGGCTATGGAGGACAGTTCTTATACTATCCCACACATTGGGAACATTCACCAAGAGCAGAGAAGCTGAGCTTTTTAAAAGCTGAGCAAATGATAAATTTTAGTTAGGAGGGGCAAATCCTGATCTTAATATCATCTACAAGTTACAAATGGAAAGCACATTTGCATAGCTGCTTACGTTTAATCTGCAAATCTTGTAAAATATTTGTTCAGGTTTTCTGTTGCATAGTAACATACTTACAGTACATGGGCTGTCTCTGGGCTGGGTGCCAGAAAAACAACAGATTAATATTTGGAATGAGAAATTACCCCCCACTGGGAAACCAATTAGTTCCCTGATAAGAACTTGGTATATAGATGGAAGTAGATGTATTTTGAGCAGCTCATGGCACAGGGTTTGAGGCTCACTTGTTTCCCACTGTGGCGGGGATAAAGGGGGAGGGGTAGTACTAAATATACTGGTAACCAGGGGCTGGTGGAAACAGCAGCTGGGACCATTATACTGGAAAGACCTGATACTTCAAGTCTAAATGTTTCCAAAGAGTCCTATGGAGCTTGCTGGGAAATAACATGGCGGGTGAGTCCTTTGCAGGTCAAAGTGCAGGGGACCAAGGAAACAGTAAATGAGATAGCAACATCTCATTTCTTGAGGGAGGTGTTGAAAGCAAACATTTGCCCTTCATGCACCAGGAATTTGACTTCAAGATGCTCTATCCTCCCCCAAGCAGAACATCATGGCTGATTTGCAGCTTCCCGAGATCTCAGCCCACCTCTCCAGGGACATAATGTCACTAACCTTGGGCTGCCTCTTGAGGTAAGGAAATTTGCTTTTGATTCATTCTACTGGATTTCTGTGTTGGGGGAACCTCTGCAGCGATGGGCCAAGGTGGCATCCTCTTTCTGGACATACATCAAGGAGAGAGCTGGACTGGGCTCTGGAAAGCCAATGTGGCCTCTGGCCCTCTCCTCACCTTAGGCCGCGGCTGGTCTATATTCACTGGGTCAAAGCTCAGGGAGATATGGGCACCTAGGCAGCCTCTAGGCTTTCTTCCACTTGTCTCTTTGCACTGCTTTAAAGAAAAGGAGGGAATTTCCCTTTCTATATGACACCTAACATTAGGTACTTTCCTTCTTTGGGTTTCAGCCTGGCCTGGAGAGTTAAGGGATAGTTAAGACCGAAGAATTGTGCATATGTGTGTATGAGTGTGCACACACATGCATACACATGTGTGTACACAGAAAGTATGGAGATGCTTCTCATTTTTAGCAGCTATCCCCTCCACCCAGAATTTGGGAAGAATGGCACGAGGACGACAGTCTGCAGGAAATAGGTGGTCTATGGGAAAATTTCCATAGGTATGAGCATGAGATGTTCCATTCTCTGCCCCCAAACTGTCCCACCAAATAACGGAAGGCGAGTAAGTTTGCCATTAATGATCATGTCCTCCACCTGACTACACGATGTTCCCTACACTGGTCTTCGGAGGAAGAGTGGGAGAGGCACAGCTTCCCTTAGCAATCCCCAAGTCCCTCCCCATCCAAAGAATGAGCAGCTGTGAGCGTCTCCACCAGTAATGGGCTGGCCCTTGGCTGTGGCCCCAGCCTCTTTCCTGTAACTGCTGAGCTCACACCCTGAGGGCTAGACCACATGCTGGGGGGAGATGCTCTCTTTTTCATATTGGTTCCTTCTTCTCTATACCAGGCTCTTTTCCCCGTAGGCCAATTGCCCATTACAGACTTTAAACTGGCTTTTCCTGCAGCTGCCTGAGCCTGACAAGGTACCCAGGAGAGGGCTCAGAGAGAGCAGGAGTGGAACTTGGTAGGACGGCAAGTGATATAAAACAAAACAAAAAAAATCCATTAGAAAAATACAGTTCAAATGGCCCTTTGTCCTCCAGGTTTGTATACAGCAATGCTTGTATTTTATTTTTCCAAGCAATTTAACCTCTGAATCTCTTCTCCCCCAACCCCAAACAGACTCCAATCCATGCTGACTGTTATCCCAGCCCCCTCTTGATTGGTGATATTAACTGGAACTCAGTTCACATCTCTCCTGGATTTCCAGTTGGCAAAGTACCAGACCCAAATGCAAAGGGAGGGCAACACTTGACCTGAATTTAACATCCATCAATAAACCTTCCCCTGGCCTGTGAGTGGAAGGATCTCTGCTGGGGGAAGTCCTGGGGTGTCAAAGCAAAAGGTTGGCTAGATCACACTGTTTTCACTCCTCAAGCCGTCAGTACCTTCTCCTCCTCACTGCTTCTTTCTCGCTTATGCAGGTCTTGGGGCGCAAAGCTGTTGAAAGACCACAATACTTGGCATTACAATTCATCATGATGGAGAAGCCCATTAACACCAATAGACTGAGCTGACTGAGTGGGCCTAAGCTTTCCAGTCAGCAATGGGAAAGGTAAGAAAGGACTAAAGGAACCTTGACTGGTTCATGATTAAGTCTTTTATTTATGAGTGGAGCTGGGAAGTCCTAGAACCCATGTGTTCCCACCCCTCACACTTCCATTTGTTATAAGAAAAGGGGCCATGGCATGGTGAGATGGAAAGGGCACTAGATGGAGAGTCAGGAAACAATGGTCAATTCTAAGTTCTGTGACCTTCCCATCTCTGAGCCTCAGTTTCCTAATATGCGAAATCAGGCAGTAAGATTACGTCATATTTATGATTCTTTTCTAGCTCTGTTTTTTGAAAAAAAAATGTAGAATTATAAATTCTAATGAATTGGGTTCCATAAAAGGAATGCTTCCAGAGGCTTGGTATGTATACGTGTGAGAGAAAGACAGAGAGGGGGGAGAGGAAAGGAAAGAGGGAGGGAGAGAAAAAGGAGAGACAGAGAGAGGGGGAGACAGAGATAAGAGGGAAAGAGAAAGAGACAGAGAGAGAGAACACTGGTTGATACCGTACTGCAGAAGTGTCTTAGACACTGTGAATGTTGTTCCCAGGCTAGCTGAGGGCTACACAGTGTCAGGGACTAAATCATAAGAGGTTAAGAACTATGGCTAGGTAAAATCAGGTAGCAGGGCAAAGGTGAAGAGGCACACAGCTCTTCAGTCCAGGATCAGGAACTGGGATTAAAGGGATAAAGCTAGCAGACTCTCCAGGGCCTGGAGTTGAAGTTATCAGAAGGTAAAGGTAGTTGCTGCTGTGCCATCTGCCTCAGGCCTTTCTGATGCCCTTCTTACTGGCCCCTTGTCCTCCCTCCTTTGTCCCTAGGACCCTTCAAGCCAGTCCCCCTAGCTCCTGTGGTCACCTACATACTGGGGGAGTTGGGCCTAGGTAACACATCATGAGAAAAAGACCAGGGGTTTTAGAAGACAGCAAACTCAATAGTGGTAGGTTGTGATGGCCGAAAAAGCTAATGTGTGTGAGGGTGTGTTTTTTGAGCACACCTGTGATTTCACTGATACGGGGAATTGCCTATGAGGAAACTCTCTCTACCAGTCTGGACGGGCATCTGCTCTGCAACGCCATGTCTTAAAGAGTTGCCTGGATGGCTGAGAGATTAAATGACTTTCCCAGGGTCACACAGTCAGCATGTGTCAGAAGTAAGACTTGGATCCTTGTTTTCTTGACCTCAAGGTCAGCTCTATCTGCCACACCACAATGACTCTTTTGTGGTATTAGGCTGCATCAACAGGAATAAAGTGCCTCCAGTAAGGGAAGTTAAGTTGCACCTGTTTTCTACCCAGGTCAGATCTGATCTCACAGTGTCTCTGTGAGCTCTGGACGCCATATTTAGAGAGGTAGAGTAACAAGGTAGAAAATGTACACTGGAAAGTATTCTAGGATGAGTGGGCAGGAGACCATTGTCATAAGAGGATCAGTTGAAGCAACTGGGGATGTGGCGATGAGAAGAGAGAAGACTTGGGAAAGGCACAGCAGCTGTCTTCAAGAGTCTGCAGAGCTGCTTTGTGGGAGAAAGACTAGTATTATGTTGCTTGGCCCTATTGGGTAAAACTAGAAACTATGGGTAAATAGTACAAGGAGATGGAATTTGGCTTGATTTAAAGAAAAATATTCTATTGATCAGAACTTTCCAAAAGTGGCCTGAGATTTCTTAGGAGGCGATGAGTTACTATTTACTAGAGGTCTTCAAAGGAAGGCTGGGTGACTAGCTGAGGTCACTGACTTTCTTATTTCCAGTTTTGTGGGAAAAGAAGAGCTGAGTAAGGAGGAAGAGGATCGTGAAGGTGCCTTTCAGGTCTATACGTCCAAAGAACGCCACAAGGAGTTTAGAAGAGAAATTGGGAAAACCTGAGGATGAGCTGAAGGGAGACAAGGACCCAGTATGACACAGGACTGAATTTGAAGAAACAAAAAGCAGGGTTGAGGTATAAAGACCGGCAGAGAACTAAAGGAGAAGGAAGTTGGCTAGGCAAGGCAAATAAAAAAAGGTCAGTAAAACAATTTAGTAAAATAAACAGGAAAGTAAAGTAGTTTGGTGAAACAAATAAGAGGTTAGTGAAAGAAGAGAAAGACTGTGGTGGATAAATATATAGTTCTTTATTTATGTTGTCCATATTAGCCATGTTGCAAAAAAAAAAAAAAAAGCAAGAAAAATAAAGAAATGCTTCAACCAGAGTGAACGCAGAGTTCATCACCTCTCTCTGGAAATGGATAGCATTTTTTTTATTGTGGGTACTTCAGAATTGTGTTGGATCATTATAAGGATCAGAGTAGTTAGGTGTTTCACAGTTAATCATCAAACAATGTGGCTGTTACTGTGTATAATGTTCTCCTGGTTCTGCTCACTTCACTCTGCATCAATTTATATAGGTCTCTCAGGTTTTTCTGAAACCATCCTCCTCATCATTTTAATAGCACAATAGTATTCTATCACAGTTATATACCACAACTTATTCAGCCATTCCCCAATTAATGGGCATCCCCTCAATTTCCAATTCTTTGCCACCATAAAAAGAGCTGCTATAAACATTTTTGTATATATAGGTCCTTTTCCTTTTTGTTTCATCTCTTTGGGATATAGATCTAGTAGTGAGATTGCTGGGTCAAAGGGTATGCACAGTTTTGTAGCCCTTTGGGCATAGTTCCAAAGCATTCTCCAGAATGGATGGACCAGTTCACAACTCTACCAACAGAGCTTTAGTGTCCCAATTTTTCCACATGACCTCTGATATTCATCATTTTTCTTTTCTGTCATGTTAGTCAATCTGATGATAGGTGTGAGGTGGTACCTCGGAGTTGTCTCTAATTAATACTTATTTAGAACATTTTTTTTATATGACTATAGATAGCTTTCATTTCTTCTTCTGAAAAGTGCCCGTTCATATCCTTTGACGATATGTCAGTTGGGGAATGGCTCTTATTTTCGTAATGCCTATATAACAGTTGTTTAGAGAGAGGAAAGGAAGTCAGGTGTGGCTGCCGAGTGGTAAAAAGGTGAATGTCTTCTCATATTCCAGCTTATCGGGGACCAGGAAGTGTCCCTAAAGCAAGACAAAAACAAAGCAGCAACAAGAGGACCTCAGGAAGGGAGTAGGTGGGAGGGAAACAAACAAAAGTGGAAAAAGCTTCACACACAATGTGAAGCCCTTCGAAGATGGTGGAGCTGGTGCTGTTGATATGAAAGGAGTGGTAAAAAGAAGCCACAGGAGCCACTGGGCAAAAGTGATGAATCAATAAAGGTCAGAGAAGGAAGAGCGGGGAAGGGGCAGGGAGTGATTTCCTGCTCGGGGGGCTGAGGCCGCTGGTGGGTGACTTGACAACCAGAGGGAAGCTGATTGCATTTCTCGGGCCTACATTAGGAGACGTATGTGCATATGTACACATATACACTTTGGGGAAAGAGTATGTTGCCAGTAGGAATTTAGAAAACCTTCCCATAGATGATAAACTGAAGACCAGAGGGGCAAAGGGGGCCTTCCTACTGAAAGCAGGGGATTCAGAAGAGTAACTGGATGAGGGTTTCTGAGAATGGGATTTGGCTAGACAGGTAGTAATGACAGGCTCCTGGACAAAGATGGAGGGCACCTAACAAAGGCTAGGAAGGATGTCTTAGCCTGGCATCTTGTAAATCTAATCCAAAAGGCTTTAGGGTAAAAAGAACGATGGAACACCACAGGGGAGCAATAATGAAATAAGAATCACACTTGAGATAACCTGAAGTTCAAAAGGGACAAAATCCAAGAAAGGAGAGAACAGTAAAACTTGTGGCCTCAAACACTGACATGGAAATGCCCCGAATTTAGACAACAGGCAAGAGGAGCTAGAGATGCTAATGTGAGGAGACAAATTTGGCCTCATGAATATCCATAACACATAGGAGGGATGAAACCCATGCCTGGGAAATGGCAATGTGAACTGGGATGCTTTATTCAAAAGAAAGTAGAATGAGGGATCACTGTGTATTCCAGAGGTAAACTTGTATGAAGAAAATCCAGGGGCCAGAGTGGAATGGGTAGAGGGGAGCCCAAGGGAGAGTAAGCATTTTGGCGAAGAGAGACCAAGGCAGAAACAGAAGCGGTTTGGTCATCGGGAGGGTACACAACCATCCATCTGGGCAGAAGGAGAGAGATAAGGAGTTCAGGAAACAGATTTTGAGTGTGGGACTGCAGCATGATATGAGGACCCTTTAGTAACCTCTTGGAAGTTTCCTGTCAAAACCAGAGTGCCTAACAACTGGATCTGCTTTAATGATAACTTCATCACTCAAGAAGGGGTGGAACCAAAAGGGAAATTTTTTGTTCTGTCTCTGACTCTCACTAACACAGAAAAGCTGGTTGCTGAGGGTGGGTAGAAATTACAGGCACTTTGGGAAGAAGCGACCACTTCCTCTTAGAGTTTGTGATAAAGGAGACCAAAACTGGGCAATCATCTGACATGGACCTTGGATTTGAGGAAGGTCGATTTTAAAGGTATCAGATGAAAGATGGGTGAGATCTCAAGAGCTAAAATTCTACAGGAGATCCTAGGAGGGTTGGGAAACTCTAAAGGATGACAGGAAACAATTCTGAAGAAAGGGAAGAAAAGGGAACGCCATCTGACAAAGTAACATGGATGCAAAAGGAACTCATCCAACAGAAGACAGAAGTAAAGAATTACTAGAAGCGTGTGGCACAGGTCTGTAAAAATCAATGCCAGAAGTGCCGCCGAGGCTGGTAAGGAAAGCCGAAGACAATACAAACGTATTGGGTGTGTATGTGGGGGGTGGGGCTGGGGGACTGTGTGTGTCTTAAGCTACATTGGGAGAAAGAATGGGTAGGACCACTGTTTGGGGAGGACGAAGTGATGATAACTAACAACAAAGAGAAGATGCAGCTGTTCAGTGCTTCTTTTGCCTGTTGTTTTTTTTTTTCTCTCTGCCAAGGAAAGTGACCTTTGAACTGGAAATGCAAGAACAAAGATGGTGTTGAAACCAAAAATGAGTGAGGAAGGAGATGGTAAGAGGGCACCTAAGCTGCTCTTGGTGAATTTGCATCACCTTGCTCACATGAAATACATCATCAGGTACCGAAAGAATACCAGACTGCTGAGTCAGTCAGTGATATCCGAAAGATCATGGAAAACGGGAGAAGCGTCACAGGAGAAAATGGAGAAACGCAAATGCTGCCCTGATTTTCAAAAATGGAAAGGGAATAGAGTCTGCAAACAAAAGGCCAGTGAAACTGACTTCAATTCCTAGAAACCTTTTAGAATGGATCCTTAAAGAGGATCTAGGAAAAAAAAAAATCTAGAGAGGGCCACAGAAATTATAAAAAGTCACATGGCTTCAAGGATATTTCGCATCAGACTCACCTTATTTCTTTTTTTTTTTTGATGGGGTTGTTAAGCTGGTAGATCAGGGATATGTTGTAGATATAATTTACCTAGATTTTAATATGGCATTTGGTGAAGTGCTTCATAGTATTTTTAGAGAAAGGACTGAAAGATGTGGGCTAGATGTGGGCTACAGTGAGATGGATTTGGAGCTAGCTGAATGGCTGGACTCAAAGAGGAGTCATCATTAATGGTTAATGTCATCTTGGCAGGAGAACTCACCAGTAGAGCACCTCAGGGATCTCTGTACTTTGCCCTCTGCTATTTAAGATTTTTGTCAGTGACTTGGATAAAGGTATAGCTGGCACACTCCTCGATTTTTTAGATGACAAAAAGCCAGGAGGAATGGCTAACGTTCTGGATGACAAAGTCAAGATTCAAAATGATCTTGGCAGGCTAGAACCTTGGGCTGAATCTAATAAAATGGAATTCATTAGGGTTGAGATTAAAGTCTTACACTTGGGTTCACAAAAATCAACTTCAAAGGTACAAGATGGGCACAGTACGATTAGGTATGGCAGGTTGCCTAAAAAGATCTGGGGGTTTTAATGAATGACCAAGTAGGGCAGCCAAAAAAGTTGATGTAATCTTGGGTTTTATTGACAGAACAGAGAGCTTTCAGGAAAAAAGTCTGGTTGTGCTTTGCCCTGGCCAGCCTACATCTGGAGGATTGTGTTTGGTTGTGGGCACCACAGTTCAAGAAGGACATTGATAAGTTAAGGAGGGTCCAGGCATGGCTAACCAGGATCAGTTAGAGAAATGAGAGATGAGACACTAGAGAAAACTCAGGGGAGACCTGACAACTGTCTTCAAATACCTAAATGGCTGTCACACAGAAAAATGAATAGATGCGTTCTATTTGGCCCCAGATGGCAAAGCCAAGAACAACAGGTAGAAGTTGTGAAGAGACAAATTCAGGCTTTCTAACAATTAGAGCTGCCCTGCAGTGGAATGGGCTGCCTCCAGGGGCAGCACCTTCCTTCTCACTGCGGGTCTTCAAGCAGAGGTTGGATGATCACTTATTCAGAATACTGGGATGGGGATTCCTTCTGGGCCATGGCTTGGCCTAGGTGTCCACTGAGGTCCCTTCCAGCTTTAAAATTCTATGATTCTGTGGGTGACATAGAGAGCCTTCTCCCTCAGGTAGATTATTCTGCTCTCTGTGATCAGTGTCCCTCATCATCATCATCATCCTTTCTTAGGATTATGATCTTATAATGGATTCCCCCACTCAAACGGGAACAACTTGGGGAGCTTGGGTGTTCAGCCCCCAAGAAATTGTTCCCTCTATTCCAATCCCAGCTGAGAGGTTCCAGTTAGGGAGAATAAAGGTGAATGATTCCTAAGGTGGAATCAGAAAGCCAAGCACAGGGACCCAGAGGGCAGGGGCACTGGTGTCAGGGACTGGTCAGGGAAGTCAAATAAAATCAAGGAGACTTTAGAGCCCTGGGAAAGAGACGTGAGGAAAAATATCAGCCTTACAATTGTGGCCAGTGTTCAGGGACTCATTTCTACTTAAGGCAGACTGGCTGTTCCCTTGAGCGAAGGTCTCACTCAACTAGGTTACTGTTCAAAATTTAGGAAATTGCCTAGTGAAGAGAATTTCCAGCTGAGCTATTTCACACAAATGGCAGAGGGGTACAAGGTCAATTCATAAAGCAAACTGTCAGAGAATGTCATTGAAAGAAACGGGAGACTTATGGAAAGGGAATGAAAGAGAAGTGGACAGAGACCTGGAAAGACAAGCCTATGATTAGCACAACCAGTGCTGTAGCCCGGTCACTGGAGATCCACTTAACAGGTGGTTAGCTCTGATCGGAATCCATACTAATAGGTTCCTAACTCCTTGACACTAAAATGACCCCAGTCCTAAAATTTCACTAAGATCCCCCAAATAGACATATGTGAGGAAAGGATAACTTAGTGAAAGGATAATATCATTGAACCTAGGTCCCAGGGTGAGAAGGACCCAGGCACGTAGCATTTAATCTACCAAGACAAGAAGGAGCTGATGGAATACTATTACTGGTAAGGTCATTGTCCTGGAGCTCAAATTCTGGAGCTGAAAGAGACCTTGGAAGTCATTCTAATCCAACAAAGTTCTCCATTGCACAGATGGAAAGATTCATGACCACCGAGGTAGAGTGCTTGGCACAAAGTCACCCAGTGCGTGTGTGATGGAGCAGGGATTAGAGTCCAAGCCACTTAACTCCCAGCCCTTTGCTCCCTTCACCATGCCTAAGCGCCCTTCCCTGCCACCCCAGAGTTTTGTGAGGGTCAAATTTTTAAAATGCAGATGAGTTCTTTTAAAATTGGAAAGTGCTATAATACTAAATTGGAAAGCAACCAAGATGGAGAAGTCTTCCCCTTTGTAAAATGCCAGGTCTACCCACAATGCCACTTATGGTCCCTTCTGATTCTCCAGGTCTCTGAGGCTAGATAAATGTTAGTTCTCATTACAAAACCTCAGAGTTGGGAGGGACTGCAAAGGGCTGTTCAGCTGAACCTCTATCTAAATAGGAATCCTTGCTCCAACCTCCCAAGCAAGTGGCCACTCAGCTTCACCTGTAAGGTCCTCAGTTATATCTATTATTCTTGCTGTCACTGCAAAGCTAGAAGGGATCTTTGAGGACACTGAGGTACAAAGACATTAAGTGAGGTACCCAGCCTCACAGAGCTAGCAGGATTTGAACCCACGTCCTCTTGACTCCTCGTCCAGTACCTTATTCACTAAGCCACATTTAAGACCAAGAGCCATTAAGGTAAGGATTTAGTTGTGTCTACCATTTGGCCTTCACAGAGACTGGGATGGATATGTTGTAGAAAGATTTTCCATAATAAACACTGACAACAAAGGTTTTCTGGCTAAGTCTGAGTTATCTAAAAAAATGTAATTACCCAGGACATCCCATTCCCTAAATATGCCAGTTAATCAGGGCTCTGCCATATGATTTAGTGCTAAGACACGCTAGAAAGGTCCCTTTCCAAAGCACCTGCCGACATCAGCTAATCACCCCCACAGTCTAAGGTCGGCCAGTGTCAGAAACACACCGACTTTGGACTGAGAAGGGGATGAGAAACTTGGGGAATAGAGGCTTTATGTGACGAGCTCTGACTCAGTCTCAATTTTGGCAAACACTAAGTAAGAGATAGAAGGCTCTCTGTGAGAGAAATGAAACTGACCTGGGTCAGCAGTCGTCTGTTTCTTTTTGGAGTTGGTAACAATTTGATTTTCATTCATCATCCGGACATCCTGATCCTCAACATGATTACTGCAGAAGAAAGAAAATGGGGAGTTTCAATCAATCTTCTGGGCTAAGACATGGCCATCATCAATCCTCTCTAAGAATCACCACATGGCCTACTGAAGCCTGCCCCAGAAAGGACTGCCGACAAACGAGACTGCTGTTTCCCATTAGGGCTTGCTCACAAACCTGATAATGGTGTACTTCTCTCGATGGCAGATCTCCTCGTCCTCCGTAAAGAGAATGGTGTGATAGGGGACTATGGGATCACAGGTGGGCAGGATGCCATGCACCACATGGCTGACCATGTCCAGGATTCCATTGTACACTAACAAGTCGTCAACAAGAAGCTAGAGAAAGAAGAGGCAAAAGGACAATGGTAGTGGTAAACAATGATAAATGATAAAAGGATGGGACAAGAAAGACCTATGGTTTACTCCCATGAGGCCTCCTCACATGGGGCCATTAGAGTGGTGTGCCTTGAAACTTCCTCATCCCCCTCCCTGGGTAGCTGCCATCCTACCCAAAGCTATCACTTGATTTGAATCTGGAAACCGTGGCTTGAGAGGAATGACTGAGAGAACTGTCATGAAAGGCTGCCTGAAAGTCTACTAAGTGGAGAAGGAGGAAGAAATTTGTTTTCACTTGCTCCAGAGGGTAAAACTTGGACCAATAAGGAGCTGTTATAGGGAAACCAATTTTGGCTCAATATAATTATGGAGGTGCTATCCAACAATATAACAGGCTGCCTTAGGAAGTAGTAATCACCATCTGTCGAGATTCTGGAGAAGGATAACACTGGATGGGAGGTTAATACTCCCACTCTAAGTTGTTGGCTAAGTTGTTAGGGAGAGACTCTTTAGGTTGTCCTGAATTAGTGGCCTCTGGATGGTGACCAGGGGTAGGTTGTTATGGCAGGGGATGTTGGCCAGAGTAAGTGGGTGGCATTAGTCTCTTCCAAGGACACCATTCTAGTTGGAAGTGGGTAGCCAACCCTGCGCAAAAGGCCCCACTCCTCTAAGGGCAGGGCGGGGGGAACCTGTGGCCTCGAGGTCACATGTGGCCCTCTAGGTCCTCAAGTGTGGCCCTTTGAATCCAAACTTCACAGAACAAATCCCATGGGGATCTGAATTCAAAGGGCCACACTTGAGGACCTAGAGGGCCACATGAGGCCTCGAGGCCACAGGTTCCCC